CCCCATACACACACACATATTTATTGATGTTTCGTTGCTAAAAATTTGACTCTGGTAGCCAAGAAATTGACATTTTGTTGTCAAACTCCCCTCGTGTTTTTGACAATGACAATAAAGGAAGTCTAAGTCTAAGTCTAAACAAATCAGAGAGGAGTGAGCTGTAACTCTTGGGTTTATTTCCTCTTTATGTGTTTAGTTGCACCCGGACCGTTTGGGCGGCCCCAGCCCCCCCGGGGCCGGGCGGGGGGGCCCCAGCCCCCCCGGGGCCGGGCGGGGGGGCAGGTTTGTGGAGCTGGAGGCGGCCTGGAGGATCCTCAGCGACCAAACGACCCGGAGGCAGTACGACCTGCAGAGGAGGGGTGAGAGGCCCCCCCCCCTCCCATCAGCCCTCAGAGGGAACCGTTACAGGGGCTTCCTGCCCTGATGCACCCCCAATCTCCTAACTCCTGACTCCTTATCCTAACCCCTGACTCCTAACTCCTAAAACCCTAACTCCTAACCCCTATCCCCTAACCCCTACCTCTTAACCCTTTAGTCTTTACTCCTAAAACCCTAACTCCTTATCCTAACCACGGACTCCTAACCCCTAAAACTCTAACCCACTAACTCCTAATATTTACTCCTAACCCCTACCTCTTAACTCCTTACTCCTGAAACCCTAGCTCCTAACCCCTTACTCCTAACCCCCTAACTCCTAACCCTGAATCCTTAACCCCTAACCCATTACTCCTAACTCCTAACTCCTAACCCCTAGCTACTAACTCCTATCCCCTAACTCCTAACCCCTACCTCTTAACCCCTAACTCCTTACTCCTATCCCATAACCCCTAACTCCTATCCCCTAACTCCTAACCCTTAACTCCTAACCCCTAACTCCTATCCCCTAACCCTGACTCCTATACCCTATCCCCTATCTCCTAATGCCTAACTCCTATCCCCTAACTTTTAACCCCTATCCCCTAACTCTTAACTCCTATCCCCTAACTTTTAACCCCTATCCCCTATCCCCTAACTCCTATCCCCTAACCCTTAACTCTTAACTCCTATCCCCTAATTCCTAACCCCTATCCCCTTACTCCTAACCCTAACTCCTATCCCCTAACCCCTAACCCCTATCCCCTAACTCCTAACTCCTACCCCCTAACCCCTAACCCTCGTGGAGCAGATGGGAGATGCTAGCTAACTGTAGCCACATCGGCTCATTCTCCTGAAGCTTCAGTATCTTCCTCCTCATTTACCGGGTTGATCTTCTCACTAGTTTAGCAGTTATTCCTCCTCCCGCTGTGTAACACTAATTAAAACCCGAGCAGGGTTTAGCACTAATTATTCCTGGTTCAGAGTTATTATCACCATCCAGCTGTACTACTCGATAATGACTGTTTTCTCAAGAGTGAATTGTAAGAAAGAGGCGTGTGAACATCTGTCCGTCCACCTTTTACTCATCAGTAACATGAGTCTGACAACTGAGTAAGTAGATAAATAACTTTACACTTTAGTACATGCTCTGATAGGCCGGGATCGGGATCGGATCGGAAGTTAAAAAAGCTGGATCGGGACATCCCTAGTTTAAAGGCACCCCAACAAAAAAGGCTCCATTTGTGCCGGTTTTGGAGGGTTTTCGACCAGAAATGTGACCCTCTTTGTTCAGTAGTGGATAAACGGCTATCACAGCTTACATTTGGGATGGGATTTGATTTTTTCTTTGGCTTTAAGAGGTTTTTGTTGACTTT